AAAAAAACCGATCAGAATAATGGCAGACATCTCTTTACAAACCATGAAGTCAATAAGAACATGGAGCAGAGTACTTCAAGTCCTCTATAAAAACAAATGCTAGCCCAGACTATGATACACTGAAAAACTCTCTTTCAAGTTTGATGGAGATATGAAATAGTTTCAAGACAAAGAGCAACTAAAGAATTTCATGATGACAAAGACAACCCTACATAGACTAATAAAAGATGTTCTAAAGAGGGATCAAAATGATCAGAACTCCATGAACAAGAACAGAAAGAACTCACTAAATATGACAAACAATTAAAGGAGAAAAAAAGGAGTAAGAAAAAGCAGGTAAATAACATGTGGATCATAAGTGAATACATCTCAATTATAACCAGCAATGTAAATGGACTCAATTCACCAAATAAAAGAAATAGACTGGAAAAGTGGATTAGGAAAGAAAATCAAACAATATCCTATATACAAGAAAGACACTTAACTAATAAAGAAATTCATAGGCTGAAAGTCAAAGGATGGAAAACACTACTATACACTGCAGCACCTCAGAAAAAAGCAGGGGTAGCAATCCTGTTCTCAGACAGTCTCAACTTCAAACCAAAAATGATCAAATGAAATAAAGAATGCCACTATATACTAGTTAAGGGAAAAATTAAAGAGGAAGAGGTAAAACTTATAAATATGTACTCACCAAACACAGAAGCACCCAACTATGTAAGACAAATATTATTGGACATGAAAAATCTAATGTCCAATACCACAATCTTAACAAGAGACCATAATACCTTCTTATCCCAAAAAGATAGGTCAAGAAGACAAAAAATTAGCAAAGAAGTAGCAGAACACAACCAGAGCTTGGAACAAATGGACTTGGTAGACGTATACAGAACGTTCCACCTAAACACAGCTAAATACATATTTTTTCAGTTGCACTTGGGTCATTTTCTAAAATATACCACATACTGCTCCATACGTCATGCTGAAGTATATGTAAGAAAACAGAAATCATCCCATGCATATTATCTGACCACAGTGCAATGAAACTGGAAATAAATGACAAAAGAAACCAGAAAAACAACGTGCATATATTGAAATTAAGCAACATTCTACTCAGCAACCAATGAGTCACAGGTGAAATTAAACAAGAAATTGAACAATACCTACAATTCAATGAAAATTCAAGCACAACTTATCGGAATTTATGGGATACGATGAAAGCTGTTCTCAGAGGGAAATTTACAGCTATGAACTCACACATTACTAAAACAGAATGGGAACAAATGAACACCCTAATGTTGCATTTCCAACATCTAGAAAAGGAATAACCAAAGTCCAAAGATGGGAAGAAATCATAACAATTAGAGTAGAAATTAATTCAATTGTGATGAAGAAAACAGTTCAAAGAATTAATAAATCACAGGAAAAGGAATGTTGTGGGGACTGTCCTGCTTCAAGGTTGTATATGGTTAGATTTCTGGACTTATATGTAAACATAAGAATTATATAATTCTTTATGCCTATTTTTAAAATATATTATAATTTTTAAATGTTTTTTATCATATTATGTAGGGACTTAAAGTTCAACATATCAATACTTGATGAAAAATACCTGTTCCATGTTATCCCTAAGATGTTTGAAATTCAGACAGATAATGAGGATAAGCTTAACAGCCTAGGTTGTATGATAATAACAATAAGCTTCTCTTTTGGAGGGTTAACAACCTAAGTTGGCAAACCAAAATTATAGAAAAAGGAGGGCGCAAGGAAAGCCAACATTTTGGTCCTAGCCTTCCAAGGCCAATTAAGTCTCAGGACATATGAGAATCTGTACTGTAACGTCAAGTAACTCAGTAGTGTCCCAAATTTTCTGATCAAGGAGATTATGGGGGCAAAGAGGAAAGTGATTGATGATGTAGAGTGTGCCTAAAGAGAGTCACGTGGAGAGAAAACGTTCTCTCAGGTTTTCGCAGAGAGCACATTGCCCAAGCAAAGGCCATGACTCATCCACATGGCTGACACTGACAAAGGTTCTACAATCTGAGGTACAGGATCTCAGGATAAATCCTGAGGGGATTTCACTGACCTTATCAGATCCAAAAGCTACAACTCTTGTTTTAGCTGGTCTGGCTTTATCTTGGTCTTAACAATCCAGCAGAAAAGTATAAAACGAAGTATAAGCAGTAAAGCCATGATGTTATGTTGAGCTGTAGGGGACTCAGGTCAACAATTTCTGACATTGCCAGTGAAGCAGAAGACCCAATACTATTATGGACTACTGAACTCTTACAATATTTTGCTGAGTTAACACACTTATCATATTGAAATGATGGAGCTAAACAAAAAAGGGGATACAGATGAATGTCCATTTTGTATCTGTGTATTCAAAATGGTTAGGATTGATATATAGTTACATCCTCTTAATGAATAGAAGGATTTATTCTAATAGTGTTTGTAAGTAGGATATCATGTCTGCATCTTGTACAGCAAATAACCACTAGGAAGAATGTATGCAATGTGTTAATTATTGAAACTGTCCTACCAATTTGGTTTGAAACTGTCTCATTGTTATTTGTTTCTGAGTAAAATTATGGAAAAGAAAGAATTAATAAATCAAAAATCTGGTTCTTTGACAGATTCAATAAATCTGAACCATTCAATCCTAACCATTTTGAATACACAGATACAAAATGGACATTCATATGTATCCCCTTTTTTGTTTAGCTCCCCTAGCTAACCTCATCAAAAAGAGGAAAGAAAAAATCAAATAGAAGCAATAAGGAATGAAAAGGGTATAAATACCACAGATCCAGTGGAAATTTAGAAGATTATCAATAGCTACTTTGAGAATCTTTACTCTCACAGAATAGAAGACACAGAAGAAATGGACAGATTCCTATAAAGGAACAAACTATCAAAACTGAATCAAAAAAATAAAACTACTCTCCATAACCCAATAATAGCCAATGAAATACAAAATGTCATAATAAACCTACTGACAAAGAAAAGTACAAGTCCTGATGAATTCCCAGCTGAATTCTACACAAAACTTATGGAAGATATAATCCCTATACTCCTCAAACTCTTCAATGAAATTGAAAAGGAAGAAATCCTCCCAAAATCATTCCTGGAGGCATGTACTGTACTGATACAAAAACCAGGGAAAGATGCAACTAAAAAAGAGAATATAGGCCAATATGCTTCTTGAGCATAGATGCAAAAATTCTCAATAAAATCCTAGCAAATAGAATACAGCAAATCATCAAGAATATTATACACCATGATCAGGTAGGATTCAACCCAGGGATGCAAGGATGGTTCAGTATTCAAAAATCTATAAATGTAATACACTATATCAATAAAGCAAAATCTAAAAACCACATGATCATCTCAATTGATGCAGAAAAGGCTTTGAACAAAGTTCAACACTCAAGAAATTGGAATAGATGGCCTCTACATCAGTCTGATAAAAGCCATTTATGACAAAGAAATAACTTAATTCTAAAGGGGGAAAAACCCAAATCTCTTATTCTGAGATCTGGTACAAGACAAGGATGTCCTCTATCACCACTCCTATTCAATATAGTTCTGGAATCATTAGTTAGAGCCATTAGACAAGAGAGGGAAATAAAAGGAGTAAGAATAGGTAAAGAAGAAGTTAAATTATTATTATTTGCAGATGACATGATACTTTAATTAGAAAACCTAAAAAACACCAAGAAGCTAATAGAATTGATATGCAAATTCAGTAGCATAGCAGGACTCAAAGTCAATACCCAAAAGTCAGTAGCATTCCTCTACACAGATAACAAACACACTGAGAGAGAAATTAGAGAAACAATAACTTTTACAATAGCACCGTGGAAAATGAAATACCTTGGAATTAATGTAACTAAAGAAGCCAAAAATCTTTTCAAGGAAAAGTATAGTACTCAGAAAATAAGAGATCATAGAGTATTTCAGAAAATGGAAAGATATCCCATGCTCCTGGATAGGAAGAACCAACATTGTGAACATGACCATACTCCCAAAATTGCTGTAAAATTTTCCTGCTACAATGCTGTATATGGTTAGATTTTTAAATTTCTATGTAAAAATATGTAATTGTTTATTCCCATTTTTAAAAATTTTTTACTTTAAAATTTTTTTCTTCATATTCTGTATGGAGTTACATTTTAACATATCAATACTTGATGGGACATACCTGTTCCATGTTATGCCTAAGATGTTTGATATTCAGACAGATGGTGAGGTTAAGCTCAACTGTGTATGTTTAGAGTAATAATATTAAGCTTTTCTTTTGGAGGGCTAACAACCTAAGTTTGCAGACCAAAAATTATAGAAAAAGAAGGGCTACAAGGATAGTCAACGTTTTGGCCCTAGCTATTGAAGGTCAGTGAATACCAGGGTATAGGAGAAACCTGTACTATGACATCATGTAACTTAGTTGTGTCCCAAATTTTCTGATCAAGGAGATTATGAGACTATACATAAATCATGCAGTACAACCTGTAGGTGGGAAGTTCTCCGTGTAGGAGTGATCCATTGTTGTAAATTTTTGGTGCCAGATATCACAGGCCACTTTATAATGCCATCCAAAGTAGCTGTCTCTTTGCATTGTTTAAATTCATCCAGTGAGGAGCAATGTCTATGTTGTACTCACTCTTTCTTCCTAGTTATATGTGAAAATGTACAATGTCTTACTAATTCATAAATTCTAATTATGACATCAACCCTGAAACCTGGGGAAATCCATCAGAGCTGTGTCTGACTGTACTTTTCACAGTGAATCACGGGGGCCAATAAATGTGAAATAAAGAGGCCCAAAAGTGAAACCCTCATTGCCTAACTCTAATCTTCAGTCATTAGTATCTTGAAGAGTCTCATTTACTATTAGAGAGACAAAGCACTTTCTGAACTCTTATCAGGGCAAGTTTCCATCAGAAAACAAGAGACTATGATTATACAAAATAAAGGAGAACTCTTGAAAAGTGTTCGAGTGGATAGCGATACCAATTTAGTTTAAAGCAACCTTTCTTAAGTAGATAAATTAGAGGAATAAGTACCAGTTTAGAAAATTTAACATTTTTTCCTACACATACTATATTTAAATTAAATATAAGATGTTACTTTTTCATTGTGAAAAATAGTAATGAAAAAGAAGGCCTAATGGTAGTTATAAGAAACTAATTATTGAAAATTTAAATACACATCACCTTTCAGAGATGCTAGAAAATCAGATTTTTCTATAACACATATGATTTACCAGTCACATTCAACAAATTTTGAAATATTGTTCAATAATTAAGATGTGAATAGTAAAATTGTTACTTTCGATTTCTGCAAAGTTGGTTATGCTATTATAGTAAAACTTTGATAATCTTTTATTTATGCAGTATCAAGTACAGAAGTGAGCAGATTGACAAACTTATGAACATCATGAAAAGAATTGTAGAGGGGAACTGGAGCCACTCGAATGCCATGGGGTTCTCTCTTGTCACACTAAAGGAGAAAAAACAAGGTGAGGTCAAAATACTATTAGCATTTTTTAATTACTGAAAATCCACATTCAAGGCCAACTTTTATAAAGCATTCACACTAACTTATCCAAACATTAAGGTGTAAGTTTTGTCCCTTTAAGTAAGATGTGGCATTGCATTATTTGAAACTGTTGTCTGAATTATAGTTAAAATAATAGTGGGTTGGAATATGTATATCCAATGTGGCTTGCTGAACTCTACTTGGCAATTACCTTCCATCAATGCCAAATAGATGAGAGGTCCCCACACCCCTGGCTGTGGACTTGTGCTGACCCACAGCTCTTAGGAGCCTGGCTGTACCACAAGGGTGGCACTGGCGAGCCAGAGAAGCTGCTCCCCATGGCTGGGCCGCACATCCTGTCTGATCAGGGGAGTCACTGGACTCCTCCAAAAACTGGAACCCTACTGTGAATTGTACAAGCAAAGGATCTGGTTGTCTGCTCCTTTAAAATCATTCTCAGACTATCCTGCGACAGGTCCACCATCCATTTGCCTGTGGAAAAACTACTTTCCATGAAAACAATTCATGGTGTCCAAAGGTTGGGTCTGCTGATAATAGACCCTACTACAGTTTTGCTGAGAAGAAACTCTGGAGGAGATAAAGCTCTTGGACATATTTAACTGAATTAGAATGTCATAATGGGGGTGGTATAGCCCAGTTGAGACACAGTGACTCCCTGACAAGTTCAAGGTCCTGAGTTCTATTCCTGACCCACACACAAAAGAAGAATGTTAAAGGGATCCAGAGAGCTTCAGTATATTATCATAAATTCAGTTCTTTGATCTCTGATTTCAAAAATAATGAAGAAGGTATATTTCTGGGAATTTTGCTGCATCCTGAGTTAGGGACAGATAATTTGACCTTGGCTGAAGGTGGTCACTAGGGTCAACTTTAAGAAATAAGCATTAAAGGCTACATAATTGGTGTGATGCCCCAGTACATTCATAAAACTACATTTTACACCCAAAACACAAATGAGGAATTTCACACCAACGGATCTTCAGGAATTTTCCCAAGAACAGTCAACTTGGGAAGGGCTGAGCTTGATTTACATATCTTTTTTTTTTTTTTTTTGATTTGTGCCTCTGGAGTCTGAAGTGATTTTCCCGACAGATTTGAGGGTGACACCAGTGGAACAATGCCTAAATTATATTATCTTTAGAAATATATTACCATCTGTTTCCTCTAAAGTTACTTAATGAACAATTTCCTAGTTCCTTCAAGAGATTAAGAATGCCAATTAGGCCCAAAACTAGAGAGAGAGAGAGAGAGAGAGAGAGAGAGAGAGAGAGAGAGAGAGAG